TGGCAATGCAGTACTGTGCATGAAATCTGAGCTTCAATCAGGATTAGAAATTCTACAAAGAAGAGTCGGCAGATTGGCGCTGGGAGCACATGGAGAAACACCAAATTAGGTAGTACAGGGGGACATGGGATGGTCGTCTTTTGAGAGCAAGGAGGCAATTAGTAAGTTGAAATTTGAACAAAGGTTGACCGAAATGGATGATACGCGGTGGGCACGGAAGGTATTCAAGTATTTATACATGAAAAGTTTAAGCACAAAATGGACAAACCGAACCCGAAAGCTTACATTTAAATACCTACGCACTGGTGATGGTGGCTGAACAGAATACTTCATTGAAAAAGGGGGTGAAAGAGGCGGAGAGGAAAATGTGGCAGGGGGAGAATGCAGGATAAATCAGCTTTAACAGTGTACAGGTCACGAAAGCAGGACATAAGAAAGGAAAAGCTGTTTGATAATTCACTGGGAAGTGCTTTGCTGTTCGAGGCAAGAACGGGAGTTTTCAGGAAATTTCAGGAGACGGACACATTATGTGCCGCCTGCCATAATGATAGCGAGACACTAGAGCACTTGGTTTTGAAGTGCACGGGGCTTGGCCCTGCCCTTCCTGAAGGGGTAAGGGATTTGGCCGGGGCCCTGGGTGTTACTGGCGACGATGAAAGGACGGAAGAGAAAAGGATTACAGTTACCAAGAGACGATTAGAAGATTGGGGGAAATTATCTAGGGAAAATTAAATGATGTACAACTAACTAGCACAGCTGGGGACAGGCGGGACAGAGGAAAATTGGGACTCCCTCCCGCGTGGCTTCGGCCCAAAGTCTCAACGCTGTCTCCCAGTGGGTCCGATGCTGGAGTAACGCCGACAAGTTTTGACCAGCGGAAAATTGGCGACTCCCTCGCCGGGGGGAAGAGGCAGGCGGGTGATGTTTTTAGTCTTTTTGCCCGATCCCCAAAGGTCATCCTGGTGAAATCCCAGGCTGCCTGGTAATAGTTAGGGGGAGAAAAATTGGTCTTAAAAGGGCGGGAGGAATCACGTTTTTGTCTTTTTAAACTTAGGCTAGGTGGCGCAAACTACCGCCCGTTACAAACGGTATATCCAGTAACACCTATCCATCCATCCATCCACTTTAATCGACGATCTAAAGCTAAAAGTTTGCTATTTTCCCTACTATTTCGGCACTTGAAGATTTTTCTCCCAGATGTTCGCATGCATAACGAGTTCAGGCGGCGAAAAAAGAAGCACGGACCCGCTAAACTCGCCTGTGATTCCCTCAACTTCGCCCATAAGCAAAGCCCAGCTAGGCGCGCCTTGCTGACTCCGAACAGGATGCCCCCGACCTTTTCTTCGAAGTGAACCCTTCCCGCATGAATAGCTGACCTTGTTTTCGGGATAGAGGGCCAGTTTCCCCCTCGTTGTTCGCTCTTATCATTTTCGGAGTTGTGAGTGGTGGGGTGGACCGGGGGTGCGGGGGAATGTGTTCGGTGCTAGCCGTCGCGGCTTCGTTGGTGGCGGACTCTCCTTTCGTCACTCGTACTTCGATCGAGTCTATAAACAAACAGTATACTGTTTGTTTGACATTAAGCTCAAATAAACGCCGTATGGATTACCTCTACATCGTCTGGTACGTACACTTTATTTCTTGAGTAAGTTCCCTTTATTTCTTTTGTTAGTAGTAAACGTTACAGGTCGAGCTAGCGCAGGTACCCTGGGGTGCTATGTTGCGCTTTTTGCACTCCCAGGAGACTTGGAAGAAGGAGGTGACGTCAACGACTAGAGCAAACGCAGATTGGATGTTGACAGAAGAAAACAAAATCAACATCCAATCTGCATTTGCTGCGTTGTTGACGTCACTTCCTTTTCCCTAGTCTCCTGGGAGTGCAAAAAGCGCAACATAGCCCCCCTGTCCACTCCGCGGTAATGCGTTGGCTACGCAGTCAGGCAAACGACGTCTCTATCGGCCTTCGCGGTGGTCACGCACGGTGTCGAAAGCTTTCAATAATTCACGCGACTATCTTAGTGGGTAGAAAAACTGATATTTCGGTCGATCGGGGGAAGGGGGGGGGGGGGGGGGGGGGGGGGGGGGGTTCCGACGTTCTACGGGCAGACTAACAAGGCCGCAAGCTTGGGCTGTGGCACCCGGAATAATAAACGAACTCTTACCCGAACCAAATCACGTGTGTGAAGCTCGTTAAAAATACGACGCAATTCTTTTCGCGGCGGATCCAAGTGACGGCCGTGAACATTACGTTTCTCCGTTGATTTGTCGAAAGCTAGGACTACAGTGCTACGGTGCTAGGACTACAGCGCCTTGGACGCCTCACCAGCGAAGGGTGCCATCTTGTTTCGAAAGTCACTGACGTCACGTCAGCGTCGCGTTGTGATTGGTTGCCGCTTTGCGGTTCGTGAAAGCGGCTGGGAGAAATCGGTCCCGAACAGGGTGTAAAATAGACAGGTGGGGAAACGAGAGCCAAATGAGCGATCGGATTGTGACCCCCTCGGTTTTCTCTTTTTCTGTGGCGCCACCTATGTGGAGCACCGCGAACTCTCACTCCGGGTGGGCGACCGCTGGCGATTGGCTAAACTGACGGAGATTGTTATTGTGGATTTTCAATGGACGACTGTCGTGCTCTTGGTTTATTTTGCGCACACTCCCATAGAGTTCCATGAAAATCCGATTCCGATTTTTTTCTTCTCGCCGCAGCGCCATCTGTCGCAAATTGGGGGTACCCTCAAGCAGACGAGTACACAATCCGGTCATGGCGCTGGGGTAGGCTTAAGGAAAGGAGCATGCCGGCAGAGTCGCTTCCGTCGCCTATTGTTAAGTGCCATCTAGCGGTCGCCGGGGAGGAATCCTCGGGAAGCAATGGCGGCCAGCTACGCTGCTGCGAGTGTGCCCATCGTCATCACGACGGGTTTTAAGGCAGTTAAGAATCCAGAAAGCTTCTTCCGAGGTGCGAACCTAACGAAGGGGAAACTCCTCTACGATTCCGGTCATGTCTACGACGTGAAGGAGGTATACTATGACAGAAAAGTCGATGTTTCGGTGCGCCTGCAAAATACATTGAAGTACAGGTAAGTCCATAAAAAGGCAACTTGAATTAACTAATGAACTAACATGCGGACATTTATTGTGTTTGAATCAGCTTTCCGAGGACAGAACGATCGTCGCCGCAAAATGCGACTGCCAAGCCGGCGTCGCTGGCAAATGTAAACATGCCGCCGCCGTGGCTGTGTACTTGGCGGAGGATGCCGCAACATCGAAGACGAGTCACGCGAGAAGCTGGGGCATCCCTTCGTCCAAGAAGACGTACCCTAAGTTTTCTAGATTAGCCCCGAACTCCCGGAAAGGTACGTCGTGGTACCGCTCTGCATGAATTCAATTTGAGGTGTACTTGTGCGAGCATTTACTTTTTTCGCGACGCAGATATTCAAATACAGATAAGCCTTTTAATTTTGCCTAAATACCCTGTTGCAGGCGCGTCAGTTTCCGTGCGTGCAATTGACGTCCACCACGGGGGAAAGTTCTTCCCGGATTTGAACTGTCCCCACAACAACATGTTGCGGGCTGAAATGGAGTGTCCGGACGACGAGGACCCTATTGGACTGCCATTTTCACCAGATGTTCTCCAATTGTACGACTGGCCTTTGGAGGGGTTTCGGTATCGAAGCTTAGTCATGTCATTCGATTCTGGAAAACCTGTTCAGAAAGAAGAAGTGTTTCTCGACAGGTAAGCTGGGATGCACGATTGACACTATTGATCACCTACTTTGTACATACTATTTTCTTACAGCATGACAGATCGTGAGAGGACCACTTACAACAGCAGCGTCTCCGCTTCGTTGTTGCGAATCCACGAGATTTGCAGAGAGACCAGCTTGTCGAGAGACACCTGGCGGAAAGAGCGACTGCTCCGCATCACGGCAACAAAGGCATGCATAATTTTTTTAGCAACTTGTCAATCTTTCCTACATAGTGAACCAGGATCCTCTCGACAGCTGGTGCAATAAGTCTAGGTATTACATCTGTTTATGTCAACAAGGGGCAAAAGCACAATAGAAATATGTTAATGTCTCTTAAAGGACCCTGCAAGGACTCTTTTACCGGTTTTTAATTCGCACTGAACCTGAGCACACTGAACGTAGTAACTTAATGAAACTTTTCTTTTCTCGTATTTCGTTTCATATTAGAAGTTATAGGCAAATTAAAATTACAAAAACAAGCAAAAAATAACCTCCTTCATGACGTCGTTGGTCACTTGAGTGGCCATGAACTAGAGGAGTAGTGAGCTCAGCGAGCATTCACAGCTGCCGCACTCCGTGTTGACGGCTAAAGAGGGTGCTACTAAAGCATGTTCTGGACATGCTGTATGAAGCGGGCGGCCAGGGTGGCTTGCATTGCATTCGCTGCGCGATTAAACATTAATTCGGCATGACACTTCATTGGCTCCAAACGAGAGCAAACACGGGGTAAAGATCAGTTTAGAACGGGAGCCACTTCGCGCTGCCATACTACCAAACAGCTGAACCGCAAGCCATACCTGCTCGCCGAAGGCCTTCGGAACGCTCAAAACCAGTCAACTCCTCAAGCCCATATACGACCGCAGTGCCGCCGCGTACATCCGGGATATTTCTACGCTCGCCGCACGTTGGCGCCTGATCCTAGTGTTACCCCCTTCTAGTATGCGCCGCCTTTTCCGCCGCTTGGTGGTGGGTATGTCGACGGTTCATTTCTTGTTTCCGCACTTTATAAACTGCATTTGTTTCTTTTCCGATCTAAAATACTGAACAAAAACTTTTATAAATAACTGAAACGGTTCGTGCCACTTTTATTTTGTATTTCGACTAAAAAGAAGCTTTTAGCGGCTCTGACCAGTAGCAAGGCCAAGACCAAAGACTTCACATATCATGTGCTTTCGGCACCGCAGGTTGCCCCCGTAGGTGGGACGAGGTTTCCGCGTCGTCTGGTTAAAATATGACGCACCGATATTTAGTTACTCTCTCCGTGCCCGCTGACTTTCCCGAACCCCCAAAGATGTGGAAACCGCAAAAAAAGTAGACGCTTAAACATGATTGCAGTGCCCCTTTAAGCTCTGGTGTCAACTGTTTGTTTCAGTGTAAATGTTCCAAGTCTTTTATTTTTCAGGGCCACAAAGTGATACGCTGTGAAGGAGACCTTCGAGATGTCGCCAGGACCATGGTGTCTGAAGCTCCATTCTGGTCGCCAGCAACGGCTCATGGGCAGCGCAACGAGCCGAAAGCCCGAAGCAAGTTTGAAGAGGACCGTGGCCTCAAAGTTCACCAGTTCGGGCTTGTGGTGGCACCAGAAGACCCTTGGTTGGGATGTTCTCCTGATGGAATCTTTCGGTACTATAGCTCAAACCTCCACTAATGCCTCGAAATGACAGCCAACATTTCAGCAGAGTTAGCTGGTCATGAGCCTAAAGAAGTTATGAATCTTAAAAGTTTCTAGGGACGTCTATTTATGGTGCTAACTCAACTTGCGCACTCCAAGCATTATTAAAAACTAAACTTTGAGCTCAAATTAACGGAAGAGCGCAAGGTCACTCGGTAGCCCACAGCTTGCGATTAGCTCTCGCGCACTCCCTGCCGGCCGGCCTTTCTTATATACACTTTTTCTTTATGGAAAATTTTGCAAAAAGGAACGGTGTTTGATTGCAATTCTTTAATTTCTAGGATGCTTGGAGCACAAAGATCGAGTTATCACCATCGAAATGCGGTCTGGAAAACCATTTTAGTGCACGTTTAATAAATTAATGACTACCATCTCAGAGCTCCCAAATGCTTTCTTTTGACATTTTATACTAACTTTTCTCGCTTCCAAACGATTTTTTTTTAACGTTTTTTACAAGCTTTTCTCGCCGTGTTGAAACAGTCCGGCCCTTTTGCTTCATTTGAATAAATTATTAGTACATGCGTGCAGGTATATGCACTACCTTTGCCGGTATATGGCTCCTTGTGGCGTGCATTATCATATTTTTTTACCACAAGGCTTCAGTTCAGCATCATACATTTTCTCAAAGCGTTAATGCACGTCTTTCACATACACATGCAAGACGGACATACCTTCAGCGGTTATATTTTGTTCAAGTCGTGTTGAAATGCATATCAAACCCTGCCAGCTAATCATTCTTTCTCTATACTCAGGAGCGAGGACGGCAAAACCACCCTGCTTGAGATCAAGTGCCCCTCCAGCCGATGGAAGAAGAAGTTAACGGAAAAGCCACTTCTGTCATACCTAGTAGAGGACAAGTGCAGCAAGGAGATTTCTTTGCGAAAGTCACACACATACTACACGCAAATACAAATCTGCTTGTATGTTTTGCAGCTTGAAGAGTGCGATCTATATTTGTACTGCTCTGTAGGCCACAAGACGCTCAACATCAAGCGTGACGAGGAATTCCTTTCTGAAGCAATTCCGAAGCTACGGTCATTTTATTTCAAGTACTACTTAGGAGAACTCGTTGCGCTCCATTCAAGATGAGCTAAGAAAGAATGTCTTTCTGCTTGAAACCAGGCACATAACAATTGAGCAACTTCAATAAATCCCGACTATAAGGAAAAACAAGAATCTCTTTTTTTTTCAGTGCATGAACAGTTGCACAAGCACAGAATGAAAATCCAGAGCATATGCATTGCAGCAAGGCATTTCAGGTAAGGGGACAAAGGGGTGGGGGTGCCATGCATGTTTTGAACAGTTGCTTATCATTCCGAGGGGATGAAGGCAATTTCACAGTCAAACTGAAATGGAATGAACTCACTGGGTATATCAAAGGGCAAATCTGTTCTAGTTAATTTGAGTTTGACTGTACTCAGTACACTCAACGTCACTGAATCCCAAAGTAAATTATTGTTCTTCCCAATACTGTGCACAGTTGTGTAGATGTACTGCCTCCGAGTTTCTATTCGATGCTTTGCGGTAAAACGATTGAAAAGCATGTGCGACATAGCAGTCATTCTACAGGGCATGCATGCTACGTGGGACACATGCTAGTTCTTGGTTGTGCCACCCTGAGCGCACTGAAACCCACAAGTTGCACCAAAGATAAAACGGAATTGCCCTTCAATTCCTTCCCTAAACTGGCAAGCAGCTCAAAGCATCTAGTAGCACTTCTCCAGCCGGAACCTCGAGGCTAGCCTGCGGATGGACACTACACACTGCTAGACTACCTCCAAAAGCTACGGACGATCTGCACTTTACCGAGGCCTAAATATACCCGGCCTCAGATTGGTGAGTACACACAAGATATGCATAATGTTGTCCAGGTGTGGAATTAAATGATGCGAAACACGCTGGGTTATTGTATAAATTTTCACTCTTTGAATTACCCTCTCGACATGAATCCTGACAGAAGCTGTCTCGTATGTTGAGTCTACCTCAACCTCTGTGAACTGCACTCCTGATGCAAATGGTGGCATTACCAGTGTTGCTTTCTTAGCACCAACGCCAGTTACTATGCCTGGAAACCCTTTGTCGGCCAGGACGACATCATCGGGCTGCAGTTTGTGCAAAAAACCAGACTCAATTGTGATAGCAGTATCAGTTGTCCGCCCACCAAATCCATCTGAAAGGAACGTCAAAAGACCACTAGGTGCGACTCCAATTAAGTACTTAACAGTATAGCACCCTTTGTACTGCGAATACCAAAGGTTTTGCTTCTCGACTGACGGAGGCATCTCCACCCTCATCTCCGTGCAGTCTATTATTACCCTGCAAAGAGGATAATGAACTTTGAAGCTTGGTGGCATGGTGGCCTGGACAGCACCTCTTCTCGGCCCCCAAATCCAGTCTCTTGTTCTGGCGCAGAGGATTTCAAGTGTAACCCTGAATATTCGTGCTGCCGTCGTACGATGGATACTGAACAAAATGCCTAGGCACGAAAAAGGTACATTATGTTTTAACTTAATCAAAAATAGTAAGAGCCGATTCTCGCTTGACAGTTCATTTTGCCTCCTCGAGGTATCTGGAAATAAGCTCAACAACAGAGCAAATAAAGAAAATGATGCGGAACTTAACCTTGTTAACATTGCCTCGTCGTCACACACAGACTTGTACCCAGTGAAGAAGGGCTCTTTGTACACTGGCCCAGCTCCCCTATCGCAAACTGACACCGTGTCTGGCCCACACCCTTCGTCCACTACTGTCTTATGGCAGACAAGGGTTGAGACATCTCCCCCCATGTTACAGCAAAGAAACAGGGTGCATGGTGAGAAGCTTGCTCCATCATCTTCTGTCATGGTGGAAGCCTGCAAAGATAGGAAGGAATGCAACACTATTACACTGAGCCGTAAAATCCAAAAGTCCGTATTATTTCTAGGGTGCACACATTCAGATTCACATCCGAGTTCAGGATTTATTGGCTTCTATGTGAACATACATTCTGAGAAAAGGCAACTTTGGAGGTTTCACCTGCCAACCAACAATAGTATGTCTGGTTACATATTTATATGAGACAAACAAGAACGGACGTGAACAACAAGGAGCCCAGGCAGAACAATATGTGAAGAAATGGAGTTTGTTGAAGTGTTCGTTAGTGTCCTCCAGTGCCTATTTCACAATATTCCTAGCCTTATAAATTTCCAAGAGGTTATTGTCCCTACTTACTTGCAAGTTTCAAATTCATTTCATAGAGGCAGCTACGAATACGATGCCCGAGGGTTAAAAAGAAACACGGGAACTTCATTTGGCAGTCTTGTACTTGCCAGGAGTGTTTCCAAAATATCCTTATGGCAAGTCGCCAAACAGGGCCACTCTTCTGTCCACATATACACAGCCACCTCTGAACATAGAGAGTGTGAGAAATGGTATTCATATGTCTATTCAGTTGTTTTAAAGTTCTGCTTACACTGGCTGTTAATGGAGCAGGTGCTGGCTCCTCTGCTGGTTGCCGCTCCATGGGTAAATCAACTTCAGGTGCAGCTGTACACGGTGTTACACGCCTTTGTTCTTCGACCCTTTTCAGTTGCCTGAAGAGAGAAAATTTGTCAGTAGCCATACTATTCTGTTAATCAGTGGCAATCAGTTTGTCGAATGTTTTGTCGATGTGCAATGTATCATAGACAAATCTTTTTACCGACAGATCGTTTCGTCGACAGCTCGCATTAGCTCTTTCTCTACACAGTGTCTAGAGTGCCGTCCGAAGGTGGTTTATGCCCGCGTTCTAGTGCCGTCTTAGCGTGCAAATGCCATCCTTTAGTGAAGAATGGCTTGCTTTTGGCACTTTGTGGCCTTATTAGCATGCCTACTTTCGCTGTACTTCTTTTTATTTAACTTGGCTAATTATGTGTACACTCGGACTCCGTAAAACTTTATCTTTATAGCAAAGAATATCTGAAAACCAAAAACTGGCATCTCTGACTCGTTTTAACAGCGTAATGGTAAGCGTGCTTAGCTAGTACATATTTAGGTTCAATATATGTGTGCCTTAGAAAACTTGTATTTTCTTGTATTTTGTAGAGGCTGTTGCTGCAACCGGAGGACGTGAGATTTAAATCACAACCGCAACATTCGAGCGAGTGCCACGTCCGCAAACTTGAGAAGATCGCGCACCTGTATTTCGCAGACATTATAAGAAAGCATGCTGCTCATTCAGTAGTGCTTGTCTCGCTCGCGCTTTCTGTTAAAACAAATCGTGGGCGAGTGGCTGACGAAAGATATGCAATAAGCATGAATCGTGCAGAATACTTTCGGACTACACTTGAAAGCGCGAGTGGAGTGCCGACAAACGGCCACTTGAACGCTCCGTTTTTCCGCAATGAGCCGCCCGGGGTTCGGGTAGCTTCACACGCACCCGTGGTGCACGCGCGACGAAACCTTGCGACAGCGAGCTTTAAATAAATTCCTGACTGACAGATTAACAATAAATAAAAAATACAGAACCACAGAAAATGGGAAAGTCACCTGTCGTGTCGTTCAGCAACCCCGAGTACCACTCTCTTCTTGTACGGCGATGGAAAGATCGAAGGGTTGTAGCTCGGGTGGGCTTCCTCATTTCGCTTTTCATTCCCCAAAAAATGCTTGCTACAAATTTTGGAATTCGGGGTAGGGGTCCAAGTCGTTCCATCGGCGCTAGAAAAAGGGCATTAGACGAAATAGTTTCACACACTATAAAGCGCGACGTTAACTGAAAAGTGTAATGAGAAACGCGACTCACTTGCATCGACGGACCAGTCGCGCCCAAACCGCGCGGCGTTCTGTCTCGTAGGACTTACCGGGAAACCCGTAGAACTTCGTATCGGGCGAATTTTTGTAGGTGCTGTTGCATCCAACCACACAGCAATTATTTCTACTCTTCAGGGTGGGAACCGGCATCTCGCAAGTTGCGATTTCTAGACCGCAATAACGTTTTCAACACACCCTCAACGCGCCGGAATGGAGAAGCTGCCCGGGGAAAGCGAATCTGTTTGCCGCTAGGGGCGCCCTGGTCGGGGCTTGAGTTACATCCGCACCTGTCTATCTTACACCCTGGTCCCGAAGCGGTTGGCAAAAACGCGCTCCAACCGCTCGATCCTAGCCGCTTTGCGGTTGAGAACGCGCGGATCCGCTTCGCGTTTGCGGATCCGGTTCCAGTGTGAATCCGCCATTAGGGTGCCTCATTGTTGGGTAACCGGCTGCGACGCAGACGGAAAGCAACATTGAGGCACTCTAGGCTCCCTCCACGCTGCATCAAATTCGGTATTATCACTGGCTTCGCCACAATCATGAAGCAAATAATTTATTTTCTTTCAGTTATTAAAGGAAGTGCTCCGTGCACTTTTACTTGTCAGTGCTAGTATGGTGCCATGGAACGCGGCGTCTGCGACTGGTGTGTTTAGCGTCCTATATTCGGCCCACAAGTGGCATCGCAAATGGTCCCAAAGTGGCAACAAATGACGTCACAAAAAGCCGGGATGTCATGCAGTCGCATGTCACAATCCTAAAGGTTGGTCGTAGAAGTTTCGGCACAAAGCACGAGCAGACGCGAGTGTCGCTGTCGTTACGGCGTCCCAACTCCTGGCTGCCGAAGCTTCCGCGGACTGTCAATCTGAAGAGCGACCTGCAGGCAGAACAGGTGTCTGTCACATCCACCATCGCTGCTGGGACACCACCGGGATCGCGGCCCGTGACAGCATGACACTTTTATGACGTAATCAGGAGGAAATCGTGGGATCGCTTTTACGAACGAGGTAAACGCATCAGTCGAAGACGCGTTCCAGGCATCATACTGCTAGTCGATTTTAAGTCTTATGTTGCTCCGCGGTCGGCCAGCAGAGGGCGGCGGCTCTTTTCATAGCAGCGGACTCAAAAGTACCCAAGGAGGATAGAAGGGTAGGAGAGGGCATGACGTCAGCCGCGTAGCCTCCACAAGCCAGGCGCCCTTGACGCCTCGCGTCTTTCTCATTTCCCCCCTTACCCTCCTCACTTATCAGGCCAACGTGACCACATCAGGTGAATGTAGCTAGCCTTTGTCTAACCTTCGATTTGATAAAACCTACCGGACGGAGCGCACGCAAGCCTGCAAGGCATCCTCCTACAATCAATTCCATATCGCACGTGCCATGCCACGCGCACCAATTGCCAAAGAGACCTACGGTCACTTTGGCCACAACATCGTTTAAACTTTTTATGACTAGGCTCCACCAATATTGCAACGTGCCCCCTCCTCGTACTGATAATGCTTATAACTACGGCTCCGTGTTTTCGAATAAATCCGAAAAACTCCGAAAAACACCCGCCGGTAAAAGTTTTGTCAGTTCGGGTTTATCCGATAAACTTCGCATTGTTATGTGACCATGCCACCCCCCCCCCCCCCCCACACACACACACACACACACGCACAACAAAAAAACAAAAAGGAGTATTTTTTTTTTATTTTTTTTACAAATTGAGCAGTGCAGGAAGAATGGTCCTGGGAAAATGACACCATAATTATCTTTCAAGCCTCGAACCGTTGTCAAAAGAGGTCTTACGGCTTGTCTCGTCAAGGTTGGTTTAGGGAAACAGGTCATCGTACCATCTGTGTCACAACTAAAGCCACTCTTTTGGTTTCCAGTTTGGGCCATGGGATTTGGGATTTAGAGAAGGGAGAGGGTATGTTTCTGCGGGTAACAGTAAAAGTTATGGACTATAGAGACTGTATAAGATAGGGAAGAGGGGCAGTTGAAACTCCTCTATTACATCCTTAACCCCTCCACCTCGCGCGGCCGCGGGATAGATTGATGGGATGACTACGAGCTTCCTTGCGGCTACCTCTGGCAGTTTATTGATTTTAAGGTATCGGCGTTTATCGAAGCCACACTTGTGTGCGACATTTTTCGCGGGACAAATTAGTATTGCCAATGACACCAGCACAAAATTCAACTGAAGAAATCTTAATTGATACAAGTGCACTTTATTTTCTTTCAGGTATACGTTTGCATCCGGTTATTATTTATTATTTTTTAATAGGAAACACTGCGAAATTAATCTCCGAATTTCGGAGAATTGGGAATTTACGAAAAATAAACTCCGATAAACACTGAATATTTTCTAAAAAATAAACTCCGAAAAACACCCTCCGAATTTCACAAAAAATAAACTCCGAAAACACGGAGCCCTACTTATAACCTCCTTGAAAGTACCCAAAAGACCTGACCACACTAGCAGCAATGGCGCCGCCGGTCGGCGCCGCTAAGCGGCACCGTCGTCTGGTGTCCCAGCGCGAGGGGGCTACATTGGCCTCTGTTTTGCGGCTGGCTCTCGCGTTCTCAAAATCACGGGTGCGTCCCTGCCGGATTTCCCGCTGTTTCGTTGTCTGCTCCTTCGCTACGTTCTTCCGTTCCTTCTCTCATCTCGCTGCCTATACATGGCAGGTGCCAATGATGACCTGGTCATCAGCGTGAATGTGATCATCCTAGCCTGCTCGTTTACCGTTGCGGCGTTGCTAGCTGCTCGTTGCGACGTCGCCGCGCTCTGAAGGGAAGGAGGATCAGGTTTTGGGTCCAGCCGAGTTGGCACTACCGAAACACCAAGGGACAGGTGAGTGCTTTGTACTCCGGCTGCGCGCCAAAGATGAAGTCTACTTTCGAGAGTGTCACCGAATCAACACGACAACCATCACAACGCGGGCGACAGACAACAAGTGTCACGGAGAAACTCACCTGTTATTCTGAATTTATCTCCAATAATTTTTCAGCGGTTGTCCGTATCCTAATCTAGGTAGTCTGGCTGCGTCTTGTCGTACGGAAATAATAAAAGTCGCCCAGTTTCGAGGAACCGCTCCGCTGGGAAGAGCATTAGGGGAAATAGGGATTACAGACGAAATTACTCTACGCTCCTTTGCAACCTGAAATACGCGCGGAGAAGCGGCTTGCGCGTTGCCATGGCATTGGAAACGGCGAGCCTTTAACCGCGCGCGGCGTGGTTGCCTGGACGGCGCCGAACGGCAAGCCACTGAGGGTGAAAACTGCTTTTGGCCGGCAGCCCGCGGCGGACATCGACGCGCGGCAAGCCTCCGCGACGCTAGTTTTTATTTATTTCACAATACTGCCGGCTCCTTAAGGGGCATTCACACGAGGGAGAAATCCCGGGGATTTCTCCCCGGCACGCGCATTCCGCGACGAAAACGTCAGGCTTTCCGATGTGCAAAAGTCTCGCGTTTTCATCTCGCGATGCGCGCGTGCCGGGGAGAAATCCCCGGGATTTCTCCCTCGTGTGAATACCCCTTTAGGGCTCAGGCAGGAGTGGGGAAAAAAAAAAAAAGAAAGGGATGGCAGAGACACTAACACACACGTTCTTCAACACGGCATTGATACTAAACAGCATATATCATCGCAACCTCGAAAAAAAAAAATAACATCAGGGTTAGGGCTTTCAACAGCGTCGTTTTCTTAGCAATTCCATTCTATTATGACCCTAGGAAAAAACGAAGTTTTAAAAATATTTTTTGCGCTTTGGTATGGCTCTAAAAGACTTCCATTATTAAAGCGTGTATTTCGGTGTGTGACGTGCTTTATGTAAGGTGATGAATCTAAATTAAAGTAATTATTCTTGATTAGGTGCAAAGCTTTAATCTGAAATTTTTCCGGCGCGATCTCAAAGACTCCAATCCAAGTGAGTTCAACATTTCTGATCGGCTGTCTAAGCGATGGTACCTATTCGCGACTCCAGCAAAACGGACGCCGCCAAGCGGGAAAGCCGGGAACCAGCCGGTCCAGGTCGCTCCGCGCCCCTCCGCGTCTCTGGGGGCTTTCGCGGAGACGTGTTGTCGGCGCGGTGGCGAACAATGTAATTTGACGAAGGTCCGAATATTTCTAAGTTTGCCTGAGTGATCATTAGTGTAGTGAAGCCTCAGTAGATTGTTTTCTTCCATTATGTGTTTGAAAGCCCGTTTACTCCACAGCACACGGTCGCGTGCTTTCGATTTCTTGGATGGGGAGGAATCACGGAAAAACTTTTTGATTTCTTGTCTGTCTCTAATCACATTCAAAGTTACGACTGCTTGGTAACTGATACTGGAGGGAACATCAACGTTGCAGTCAAGTGAATGGGAAGGTTCGATAGCTGCTTTTCTTGAGTTTGGTTGTGTTCGGTTAGCTTCAAGTTTGAGCCACCTACGCCGGTCGGTGCGTTGGCTATTCATCTTGGCTGCTTTTCGCCGAAAAAGCCTCTGGACCACACTGAAGGAGTTGGGCTGATTTCGCAATTACTTGATTCAGGAAAACTTGCTCGCTGCAAATGATGAATGAGGAAAATTATCCGTTTTCAAAAGGTGGGAGACAAGTCTCGCAAAGTTAGATGCTGTCACGGCATTTTGACCTATCGCGCCTCCAATATTTATATTACGAGGAGGTCGAAGCCAGCAGCAATATACGTCTACATTGGTCAGGTTGACCGGCCACAAAAAAATACTAATTCTCTTCGTTCAGGATTCGAAGCAAAGTTCGATGCAGAGAGGTTCTGCGCGGATCTTCAATGAAGACTCTCTTTAGTTTGTCTCCGTGCTGCCGGCTATAGAACCATTTGGCTAAGTTTAAGTAGTATGTCTCCGTCTGTCAAATATACTTTTATTCAGCAGCTCACCTACTAGCTAGTCAACTAAGCTCATATTTCAACCCGACGGATATACTAATATCGCTTTAGTGGGAACCCCCATAGTACGTACTATAATACATAACCCGCTCGTCAAAATGACTTCTCGATTGCTACTGAAACCTGAATCGAAATACGAGTATCAGCTGCTTAGTGGGGCGCCGGTGGGTTAACATGGTCCTTGGCTCAAGAAGCGGTTGCTTAATTTTCGTAATTTTCCTGCAGCCTGTGTTGTTGGCCGAGCAGACGACTGGAGCTGTTTCGTAAACGCGGATACGCACAAAAGCTCGATTTCGCGGACAGATAAGTCGCATGGTCGAGGCATGCGAGTTAGCTGAAAAGTTACT